CCCCAAAACCCCAAAACCCCAAGAGTTATTAGTATCTAGGATTTGTGAAAGGCGAAAGAAAAAATAAGAAATTTTAAATTAATAAGGATGATATTAAAACTTGAGATGAAATTTATTAGAAATTAATCTCATTTATCAAAAAATATTAATCTTATATTCAGTTAGGAGAAATTAATTGAAAGTATAGTATTTAATTAACAAACACAATAACAAACTTATGTTCCTCAACAACACAGACCATCTAAATAAAAAGTTTAATGCTGACTTCGAGAATCCAACCATCAGATGTTTGATCATCCCCTTAAATGAAAGGAATGAATCAACTTAATAATAACAAAGCGGCTTTAATTTAGACACTACACTACACCTAACAAAAATATTTGAGGATTATTAATAGAATAAAGGAAACAAAATAAAGGGATATTTTGGATAAGCTGGATCTCAGCTTTCTCTGAATTTTAATGCATTGGGTTAGTCAACTTTTCTTGAGAATAAAAGTAAAAATATAAGGATTTAACATTAGGGTATTTAATAAAAATTGTTAGTCACAGAGAAAAAATATTTTAAGTAGTAGGTCGATGAAGTGAGAAATTATTTGCCGAAGTCTCCAGAGATTTAAAAGTTTTCAATGTCTTGGGATAGCTATGACTTAATCAAAAAATGCTAAATCGAGCTTTAGTATAAATCTTAAAAGGAAGACTCAAAGATTTAAACTGTAACAAAGATAAAACCTACTGAATGCATATTTGAACAGTAAATTACGAATTAAGATAGACAAGGTGAACTCTATTAATAGTTTAAAGTAGATAGAGAAGATAAAAATGTATTATTTGGACAATAAAACTCTCTGATGGTTTTAGCCTTTGAATTCCATGAAATATCCCTGCATCATCGTTAAAATATGGTTAATTGGATGCTATAAGTCTTTAGAGTTCTTAAAGTTGTCACTCCTAAGACATTTATGCTATCTGTATAAATAATGGATAAATACTTTAAGAGAAACTATGAGCTATCTAATAAGATAAGTAAAGAAGATTTGCACTTAGTAGGTATGACAAGTATTATTATTAGTTCAAAATTTGAAGATGTATCTTCAATTCATATTGATGATTTGGTAGAAAATGCTGGTCATAGGAAATATACAAATAGATAAATAATAAACAAAGAGGTTGAAATGTTAAGGATCTTAGAATTCAAAATATTTATACCTTGCATCTGTGATGATGTTCAATCAGAATTTTAATAGATCGTCTAAAAGTGTAATTTTTCAGACATAGAATAAAACTTTGTTTAATAAGTAGTGAATCTCATTGATTTCCTATGCATATTACTATAATTTGGTACTATAGCTCCTCATTTAGA